AAACGTCGATGAGAGAGAAACATCAACCAGCTGCCTCTTGCACACCCCCTACCGGGGATGTGCCCACAACCAATGTATTATACATGCCCTTGACCAGAATCGAACCTGGGACCTTTTAGTCCGCAGACCGACGCTCTACCACTGAGCCAAACCGGTTTTGGCTATGTACCACATCTTTAAAAAAATTATTGATTAATTGATTTTTAGAGAGAGGGGAAAGGAGAGAGAGAGAGAAACATCAATTTGTTTAAAGAAATTTGTAAACATATAAAACAATGCCACTCTTAATAATTTTTTGTTTTTGGAAAATATATGTCTTGTAAAAAATATATGTTAACATTTAATAAGATTGCTATTAAATTAATTAAAATTTTGTAAATGTCTCCATTTTAATTTATAATACTTTAAATACAACATAAACTATATAAAAATAATTTATCTGTGATCTATAATTTTGGGCTGTGAAAATGATTGAGAACAAAGTTTGTAATTATTCTGCACTGACCAGTATTACCCAGCAGGGGGCAGCAGAGGCAGCCAAATGAACATGTCGCCACCAGGTCTCTCTTCATCTGTATCACCTTTGTGGGGCCACTGCTTTCCTCTATGCTTTAGTCACACGGAGGCTGAGGCACAGAGAGGGAAGGTGACTGGGCCAGGACGTGTGTGTGGTGCCAAACTCAAGTGTCACTTTCCCTGTGAGGCTGCCCTTGATGCACCCTCCCCTCCCCAGCAGCCTCCTGTGTCCACAGGGCACTCGGCACACACCACTGCAGAGCGCCCTCGGACCGGACACCCCTTGCTTGTCCAGGCCCTGGGTGCCCAATGCTTGGTCTCAGCTAAGAAATTACTGGTAAATGTGGGATGAGCTTGGGGCATAGAGAGGCGCCCTATCCCTTGCTCTCCCGAAGCTCATACTCTGGTGGGAAACCTGACCCACAACCAGCCCAAGATCCAAGGGATCAACGTCCCAAGAGAGGCCCAAAGGGCTAGCAGGGTGGCCGGCTCCAGTGGACAATATTATGCCTTCCCCACCCCCGCCCCCCAGCAGGGTTGGTTGGGCAGGGTCCCCAGAGGGGTCAGCCTGTGTCCTGGGCTTGAAGGATGGAGAAAATGCCAGTGGCCGAATGGGCCACACACAGGCAGGAGAGCTGGGGGAAGGATTCGGAGCTGGCAGAGGCAGACCAGCGGGAAAACAGGCTGTCCTGTGAGGGCCCCAAGGTCAGCTGTCTACAGACACTGCCCGACAGTGAGCTGCAGGAGGGCAGGGCCACACCTGCCCGATGCTCCATGGGTCCCCTGCCAGCACCGAGCTCAGCGCATGCACAGAGTGGGTACACAGAGTGGGTGCACAGAGTGGTGCACAGAGTGGATGCACAGAGTGGTGCACATAGTGGGTGCACAGAGTGGGTGCACAGAGTGGTGCACAGAGTGGTGCACATAGTGGGTGCACATAAGGATTTGTTGGAAGCAGGCCTCGAGGGGCATAACGCTTTATACAGACCGGTGCCCCTGCTGAAGAGAGTGCTAAATCCCTAACGTAAATGTCGGCACAAAGTGGATGTTTATTTGCCGCAAACATGGGAAGCTGGGCAGCAGAGCCGAGGCGGCGAGCAGTAGCGGCACCGTTAGCTCCCGTCCGGCCAGAATGTAAGGAGGGGAAGGTTCTCGGAGGGGGGGGGGGGGGGGCACCGCTGACAAGGGCGGCCTTTTCCGCAGCCCCAGAGGCCCAGGTTCAGAGCCTCCTCGGAGCCCTCCCAGACACCCCGCCCCGGCCAGGCCCCCGTCACGCCTCATGGGCCTCTCCGGCTGCATAAAGGCCCGATTCTTCCAGGTCAGGAGACCTCCTCCCCCCAGGAGGGCAGCCGGAGGTGAACGTGGGCGTTTGAGAACTGTTGGCTGGTCACCCCCTGGCGACCTTGGGCACTTCCCTCTGGGGCCTCCGGGGTCACGGAGGGTCTGTTCTGAAAGCCATCTTTTATTCTGGCCTCTGCTCCCCGGACCTCTCAGGGGGCTCTCACAGCAGGGGCTGTCTGAGAGCCTCATTCATCTCCCCTGCCGAGCTCTCCCTGGGGCCAGGCTGCACTCGGCTGGGTGGGGGTGGGTGGGAAGGCTCTGCCACAGAGGTGTGGGGTCCCCAGGCCAGAAAGGCGTAATGACAGAGCCTTCCAGCTGCGAGATTCCACACCAAAGACAGGCTCCCCAGAGGAGGAGACACTGATTGGAGAGATGGGGCATTCATTCCGTAATTACTTACTGAGTACTTACTAGTGCCAGGCTCCGAGGACACAGCAACGAAAAGGCAGACGGGCATTTGCCCCAAGGCATCTTCCCTTCGGTCCAGCAGGGAAGTAGGAACTGACTCAGGAGAGAAGGGGAAGACGAGGGGTCAGCAGGAGCAACCACATCCGGGGGAGAGATGATACCCTGCTTGTGGATGGAGCTGACTGGTCTGAGGGGAAAAGGAAGTGGCCTGAAGATGAGGCTGCTTGGCAGAGAGCAACAATGGAGAGTCTGCAACACCAGGCTAGGGACTTGTAACTTAATCATGCTGACAGCTGAGAGCCACAGAAGGTCCTACACAGAGGGAGAAGTTACAAGGTTCCTTTAAAAATATATACATATATTTTTTTATTGATTTCAGAGAGGAAGGGAGAGCGAAAGAGAGAAACGTCAATGATGAGAGAATCATTGATCAGTGACTCCTACACACCCCACTCTGGGGATCAAGCCCACAATCCAGGCATGTGCCCTTGACCAGAATCAAACCCAGGACCCTTCATTCCACAGGCTGACACTCTGTCCACTGAACCAAACCAGCTAGGGCACAAGGTTTTTGTTTTGCTTTGTTTTTCTTTATTGCTTAAGTATTAAGTATTATGTATGTAATATGCCCCCCCCCCCACCACCACCACCTCTACTCAAGCTCTCACCCTCCTGGTATCTGTGCCCAAAGAAAGCTTTTTTTTAAGAATATATTTTTATTGATTTCAGAGAGAAAGATGAAAAGGTCAAGGATGAGAGAGAATCATAGACTGGCTGGCTGCCTCCTACACACCCCTTACTGGAGATGGATGCTGCAACCCTGGCAAGTGCCCTGATGGGGAGCTGAACCATGACCTACTGGTTCATAGGTCAACGCTCAACACTGAGCCATTTGGTTGGGCGGGTTTCTTAGCACCATTACCAAGCTCAACACATAAGACAAGTGCAAGCTTCCTGGGGCCGACCTGCCCACCCCGACCCTGGGTTTGGCTAAAAGAGGCACCCCCACTCCTGGCTGGACTTCAGCCTCCAGCTCCACCTCTTCCTTGTGCTCCCAGCCACACTCAGAGGTTGGTGTATCGATAGGGAGGAAGAGACAGAGTGTCTGGGCCCAGGACTCACTGAGGACTCAACCCTTAACCATACAGGCCCCCCATCATTCGCCTTTTGTGGGCGTTGGGTGTTTTCATGCTGTCTGCTTTACCTGCTTTCCCATATCCATACCTGGCAGAAAACTTCCCAGAATACCCCTCTGACAGCCAGTGAGTCCAGATTTAGGATCTTTAAGACTGGGGCTTCAGCATGACCCTGCTGAGTTCAGGGTCAAGAGCAAGACCCCAGCAGAGTCCTGGGCCCCTGGAATAAAATCTGAAGTCCTTTCTGTCTGGCCCCGTCTGCCTCTTCACACTGCCCTGAGAGCTCTGGTCACCTCAAACTGGCCTGGCTCTCCAACAAAGCAGCGCTCTCCCTCTCTTCCAGAGTTTTGCCTACACTGGCCTCTCTGCCCAGAGCACTGGCCATTCCCTGAGGTTCCCTCCTAACCTAGCTAACCCCCACCTCTGGCCTGAACTGCCTCTCACTCCCTCGGGGAAACCTCTCCTAACCTCCCAGAATAGGCCAGGGGTCCCCAGAGGTGTTCTTTCAGAGCCCAGGCCTTTGCACATGCCGTGTCCTCCGGCAGGAATAGACTTCCCTCCACCTCTGCAGCCTGGCGCCCGCCCAGTAGCAGCACCTTTATTGCGCTTTTACAGATGAGGCACCAGAGCCTCAGAGAGGTCCAGGAACCCGTTTGAAGCCACACAGCTGTGCCTGGAGTGCTGCAGTGGTCAGTGGGTCATAGCCTGGCCCAGCTATAGGGTCTTGAGAACATCATTTGGCCTCTCAATGCTTTCGAGGCCTCACCAGTGAAACGGGGTACCTCTGCGTAAGGCTGACCTGTGTGAGCCTCTATTCCTTTGCTCTCCGGGCCATCCATTCAACTTTCGCTCCTTCAGACAGACATCAAAACCCTGCAAGGCCCGCTCTGTGCCCGGCCCTGAGCAGGGTCCTGGGAACTCCATGGGTATGAAACAGACATAGCTCTTGCCCCAAGGCGCTTGGGGAGGACGGGAGCAAAGGGCAGAAAGGTCACTCTCAATCCTCTGCTGATAATGACGTTCCTCCCCGCGTAAGGAGAAGTGGGAAAGGCTTAGGAGAGATCCCCTGTATTTTCAAAACTTCGTTTTCGCCGCTCCCTGAAGTCTGGATTTAGAAGCCGGGGAGGGTGAAGAGTATTGTGGGGGCTGTCTCACAATCCCGGGGGGCTCCTCTTATCCTGGGGATTCCACTACCTCGGATAACACACCTGCACCCTGCTTCTTTCCCTACCTCGACCCCCCGCTCCATCGCATGACTCCTTCTCTCCCATACAAGGCGGTCTCCACACCCCGGTCCCCCGCACATCAGTCCTTTTCGCTTCCCCCTCCTCCTCTCCACCTCGCCCTCCATTCAGGTCCCCAAACTGCCCCAGCCCGGGCATTGTCCTCCCTCCAGCCTCGCGCCTCCCCGCTGGCCCCGCCCCCTTCAAGGTAGAGGCCGCAGAGCCCCGCCCCCCTCCCCGCTCTCCTATTGGCCCTCGTCCCCTGACGGCGCTGGCGGAGGGCGGGCACCTGGGGAGCGCCCCGCTCCTTGCCCTGGTCCGGACGGTGGGTGGGGCCTCGGGATGGCTCCGCCCCCTCCGGGCGGGGCCGCGCTGCTGGCTCCGGGGGCGCTGGGCGGCGCTGCCCGGCTCCGCGCTGCTCTGCCCGCAGCTCCGTGGGGGTGGGCGGCCGGGATGACAGCGGTGGCGGCGGCGGCGGCTCGGGGCTGAGCGCGTGGCGTGGCGCCAGGGGAAGAGGAGGAAGTGGAGCGCGGCCCGGAGGTCCACCCCGTTTTGCAGCGCGAGCCGACTCCGGAACCGGGAAGACTTCCCCGCCGCCGGGCTCCGGCCCCCGCGGCTCCCCGCCGGCGTCCCGACCAGCCAGCCCCGCCGGCCCCGGCCCCCCCGGCATCCGCCACGGGACGCTTACCCGACCCCACGGTCCGGGGCGTCGTGGCCGGGACTCCCGAGCCCACGACCCTGATCCGGTGCACCTGGGCGGGACCCCGCTCCTGGCCCACCCACCCACCATACGGGTCCACCGCCGCGGGTCGATCCCAGCCTTTTTGCAGCGGCTGTCGGAGCCCTCCGTCCGGGGACAGCGCAGGGGTCCCCAGGACCCCGACTGAGTGCACAGGAGCCCGGACACCCTCAGCCTCCTTCCCTGAGACCTGGACCTTCAGCGGCTCCCCACCCGGCGCTCCGGACCTCCAGGCGGCGAGCGCCCAGGAAGCCCCTGCCGGAGTCCAGCGCCCCCTGAAGGGTCCCGGACGGGCTGGACAGTCGGACCGAACTGGACCCGGGGGGTCCTGCGAGCCGAAGCTGCCACGGTCCTTGCACGTTGCAGGCGAGGGGCTTGGTGCTTCCGCCGGAGAAGAGCACAGGGCCCCCCTGCCCCGGAGCCCGAGCTGCAGGTGAGAGCCTCCGGATGCCGGGCTGAGCGGCTGCCCAGCCATCGGGGCGGGGACGGGCCAGCGGCGGTGTGTGCCCCGCACCGGCTGAGGCTGGAGGGCGCGGGGAGGGGAGGAGGAGAGAGAAAACGGGCACTTGGGGAGCCCCCATTGTGTGCGTGTCCTTGCTCCACCCTCGTGCAAGTGGCCCCTCGTTAAGTCACTCTAATACCCGATGAGATAAAAGGTGCCCTTTACTGTTCTAGGGGCTAACAGATCGGGGAAACTGAGGCTCCGTGGGGTGGAGTGACCCAGCTGTTTTCACTCTGGGGATGATGAGACTGGGAGGAGGGTTAGGTCGCAGGTGGGAAGAAGCACAAAGTGAAGAGGAAGAGAAAGGAAGTGGATAGCCTCTGGGCAGGACTGTGGAAGCGGTCAAGGTGGGGCCCTGTGAGACAACCTAGAGCCCATCCTGAGGCCCAGGAGGCGGCTTCTGCTGGCTTCCTTCCCTCCCGTCAGTGGCCTATGGCCGGGCCACCTCCCAGGACACGGAGTGAAGGGCAGAGGTGGGAGACTTCCCACCTTCACAGCTTCCCCCCTGTGGGCCTCTCTCCCTGGCCTGGACTCCGGGGTCTCTAAGGCACTCTGGAGGTCCTGAGGCAGGGCTTATGTGTCGGGGAACTCCCTGTAGGGGCCCCCATTAAGAGAAGACGAGGCCCTCAGCACGCACCCAGCTCACTTCCTTCACATTACCGGCCAGGTGTGTGGGGGAGGCTGCGGGGTGAAGGAAGGATGGAGTGTGTGTGCCAGCTGTCCCGGGGCCTAGAGCAGTGAGTGGGTGATTGACCCGCAAGGACGCTTGAGGAAACCTTCCCAAATATCCTGCAGGGTACCCACTCCCCCTCCCCATTAGCATCTTCTGGGTAGGTGGCCGGGGGGTTTCCCACCCTGGTGTGAGGTCAGGGTGACCACACGTGACGCTGTTGTGAGAGTCTGTGTGGTTGGAGCTGGGGCCCAAGACGGGGCCGGCAGCCTCCTCGCCTTTGGCCCAGACTAAAGACCTGACCTTAGCCTCTCCTGGCAGGGGGCCCTGCCAGACACCTCTGACCCTGGCGGGAGGGCTTGCTCAAGGTTTCAAGGCTGGGGCTGTCAGGCCTGGGGGCAGTGTCCCAGGTGTCTGCATTTCCAGGCAGGGCTTCCTTCTGCTACCCACCCTCCCACCCCCCCACCCCCCACCCCCGGGCCATGCAAAGGAGAGGGGTGTTGTGAAAGAGGGCTTGGCATGGATTCTGGGGGCTCTTGTCCTGGGTGGGGTGGGGGAGGGGACATGGCCTTGGTCTGAGCCCTGTGGCCTTGGCTGGGACTCTCTAACCCCTGCTGTGCCCAGCCTCCAGGAAAAGCCGCCTGGGAAAGCCCCTGGGAGGTGGAGGAGAGGGGAGAGGTCAGCTCAAGACTGGAAGCTCCATCCCTGGCGGGGTGGGGTGGGGGGGGATCGTCTGCAAGAGAAGGTGACAGAAGGGCTTGGGATTCCCCCCAATCTATGGAGATCCAGATTCTCCTGGTAACCCTGCCTCTCAACAAAGCTCCTTGTTAATGACATCATCTCACACCCGTGATCTCATTTCACGGTGTGATGGGAAGAACCTGGAATGAGGTGAACAGGGTTGGGGAGCCACGTGGGACCTCTCAGAGGCATCCGTGGCTCCCAGGCTCACCTGTAAAATAGGGTCAAGGCGGGCTGGCGTTATCTGTTCTGATAATGAGGCCATGATACCTGGCAGACTATCAAGAGCTAAAGAGGGTGTGTGTGTGTGTGTGTGTGTGTGTGTGTGTGTGTGTTTGCTTGCCACGACTAGGATGGTTATTAATGGCTACAGCGTGTGGGAAACTGAGGCTCAGAGAGGTGAAGCCACTTGCCCAGGGCCTTTGGGTTTCTTCAGCACCTGAGTGCCAACTGCATGCCAGGTGGTCTGGAAGTCACCCAGATGGAAAAGGCAGTGCGATGACTCGCTCACAGCCGGGTGGGCTGAGCGGCTCAGACAGGGAGCGGTGAGACAGACCAGGTGGGCGTGCGTGCGCTCTGCCTGCCTCCCACTGGCCATGTGGCGTTTGGGCACATCACTCCTCGGAGCCCCCACTTTTGCTCCATAAGCTAGACTGCCTCCTTCATGAAGTTGTGTGAGGAGTGAGTGAGATATAAATAAATATATGGCGCTTGGCAAGCTATCTGCTTTCTTCCCTACAAGGAAGGAAGCTTGCATTGTGACCAGGAAATCGGGAAATTCTCAGGCTTGCTCTGCTGGGCCACCTTCCTGGTCTCTGCGTCCTCTGGAACCTGCTTGGGGACCCTGGATTCTGACCCCCCACCCCCACCCCAGGGCCAGGGTTGTGGGAGCTGGTACTCATTCCCTCTGGCTCTTTGTCCCGCCTCCCTTAGGCACAAAAGGGCAGTGAATAATTTATGGGTCCCCTCGCACGGAGAGGCAGACTCAGAGAAATTGCTCTGTGCCCAGATGAGCTTCTGAACTCGCCCCAGAGGAGCCGGCTGTTGCTGTCGGTGCTATATGAAGTCTTGGCGATGGGGCAAGGGAGGCAGGACAGGAAGGAAGGGACCTGCTATCTACCTGGGCCCCTCGCCAATGGAAACCGAGCTGGCTGGGCGAGGGGCAAGCGGTGGGCCTCTGATTCCGAATGGGTGATGGGAAATGGCAGGGACAGGCCCATTTCAACGAGTAACCCTGGAAGGCTCACCAAGGAGGACGGTGTCTGAGTTGGGGCTAGAGGCAGATGGCTGTAGTCCCGACATCCGCTGAAGGTTGAATCCTGGCTGTGCTGCTAACTCACTGAGAGAAGAAGCAAGACACCTGACCCTGCCAGGCTGCCATTTGCTCCTCCGCAAAATGAGGGCAGTTCTGGGTGGCTGTGAGGCCGCATATGTGAAGCATGTGGCACCAAAGGTACTTAGTGAAAGGTGCTTCATTGTGAACGTGAACCTGGGGGTGGGCTAATGGCAGGGGCGGTGGGATAGGGAGGTGGGATAGGGTAGTAAGCAGAGAAGTGGGTGAACTCTGAGGCAGTGGCACCCGGGTTTATGGGGTCAGTGAAGGGGGTGGAGAAGAGGGAGGGTCACCAGATGCCAGAGGGCCTTGAATGTCAGACAGAATTCACATTTCAGAGAGCAGTGTGCAGCCATAGCCAGTTTGGCTCAGTGGATAAAGTGACAGCCTGTAGACTGAAGTGTCCCGGGTTCAATTCTGGTGAAGGGCATGTACCTCGGGGGTAGGCTCCATCCCCAGCTGGTCCAGGCTCGTGCGGGAGGCAACCAATTGATGTGTTTCTCTCACATTGATGTGTGTCTCTGTGTGTCTCTCCCCTTCCCTTCCACTCTTATCTAAAAATCAATGGGAAAATATTCTCCGGTGAGGATTACAAAATTAAAGAAAAAAAGCATCACGGAGTGCCCACTGAGAGCCCTCTGTGGCTCCTGTTGTCTGTAAGTTGGAGACCGGTCTCCTTCGTTGCGTCTTCAAGGCCTTGCCCACACACTGCATGGGCCCCTGGCTCACTGCTCACCACTGTCTCCTAAACACGCCACATGTAGCCTCAGGCCTGCGTCTGTGCTTGTGGGGTTCCTCCCGTCAGAGCTGCCATCCCTGCCTCTTCTCTGCTCATCTCCCCATCTGCTGGGGCCCGAGTCCTGCCATGAACAGCCCTGGATTATCCAACCCACTGCTGAGCCTTCACCACTTCCTATGAATAAACAGTACCTACCACTGCACCACATTTCACAGTTTGCACGATGCATTCGCATGCTCATTTGTAACACTCTGATGATGATATTAACAGCGGCGATAGCTTTGAGTACGTACTTACCATGAGCCAGACACCGCTGAGCGCTGTTCGGACACACTCATTCGCCGCGCGGGGAGGTAGCTGCTGTTTCTCCAGAGACGGGGTTTGGCTCCGAGGAGTGCGTTGTCTTGCTCAAGGCCGCACGGGTTAGACAGAGGGGCGTGAGGAGTCAAACCTGTGCTCCTATCTGGGACTAAACTGACAGCTTGGCAGCTTTTAGAAGATATCCCGTCTCCCCAACGGGGGCCAGGTACCTTGAGAGCATGCTTCACACGTAAAAAGCCTTTTCAAAGCGAAGGAAGGGCAGTGCTGGGGCCAGCCTGGGCCCAGGAAGGAACCCTGGCTGGGCACCCCAGGCCCTGGGCCCCGGGCCCCGGACGGGCTGGCTGTGTGAGTCGGCCCTGCGCTGTGTCCTGTTTTCCCACAGGTGAGCAGGGCGGTGTCCAGTCGCCCGGCGCTCCAGCGTCTGCAGTGTCCTCCGTGACCCCAGGAGGCGGAGGAGACCGCGGCACCGGGGCCAGAGGATGTGGTGTGCTGGGCGGCTGTGATTCTTGGCCCGGCGGCTGCGGGGACAGCAGGCTCTGTCGTTGGCTGCTGTGGTTCCCGAAGAAGGGCGGTGCCTGCTGCTGCCGGCAGCACGGTCATTAGCAGGGCAGAGAAGACCCTGAGAATTGGGAGCAGCTGGGCCAGGCCGGGTTGGCAGTGCCAGAGGCAGACTGGCCCGGCCACAGTGGGGTCACTGGCAGGGCAGCTGGCAGGGCAGCCGCTGCTCCTCGCTTTGCAGCCTCCAGAGCTTTGTGGGCTGAGGCATGGCCTTGCTCCTGTCCCGGTGGTCCTGGGAGTGGAGCAGAGGGATCTAGCCAGGCCCCGAGCTGCCTCCTCCTAGGAGCTTGCAGGCCTCCTCCCACCCTCCTCCTCTGCAGACCCTGAGCCCTCACTCACTGACGGTGCTCTGTGGATCGGGGCTGTGTAGATCTGCTTTCCTTGCCAGCCGGTCAGAACTAGATTCTACGCCACCCCATCTGCCCCCCCCCCCCCCTCCTCAGAGTGCCTAGCAGCGTGCCTGGCACCAAGTGGCAACCCCTGGGCAGGGGGGGCCGTGTGAGTTGACCCTTGAGCAAGCTGCTCCACCTTCCTACTTGTAAATAGGCCCGGTAATAACCGTGTTGTGG